TTCATTGCTCCTCAAACAAGAGAGCCCTCATCTGCTTGCTCTAAACCGAGACGTGGCTTAATACAACAATTGACATAAATTCAGTCATTCGCGCAGACCTTTCGCCTTACTGCGTAACACGATGCGATCGCTTTTCAAAACGAGGGGGAGGAGTTCTTCTGATAGCTAAGAATACCTTCTCTCCATCACTATTCTCTCAGAATCTGTTCCGAAGCTTACGAAATCTTGTGCTGTGACTTGTGTGTGAATCTCCGTAGAGGTACGTCTCATTGTCGGTTTACATGACACCTGACTGTCCAGCTACACAATCAGATCAACTGACTAAAGCTATCAGTGATTTGGTTTCTTGTGAACATCCCTCGGTAGTTGTTGGGGACTTCAATTTTCCGTGTATAAACTGGAACTTTCAAAGCGAAGCCCCGACGGCTCGGCTCACCCATAGCGGTCAGTTCTTTCTGGATATGTGCGGTAATCATGCATTAAAGCAATATGTTAACACGGGAACGCTCCGTGGCAATATTCTAGACTTGTTTTGTCCAATGATGAGCCTGATTACTGCAGATCGAGTCGATCTCCACTTGGTTCAAGTGATCACTCTTCTATTGCCTTCTACATTAATTTACAAACGACGAGGGAGTATATAACATTCAGAAGAGATTGTTCCGCGGCTAACTATGAAAATATAGAACGCCATTTGGCCAATGTGGACTGGTTAGGTTCCCTAAATTCTGCAAATTCGGTTGATGCTGAATACGAGCTTTTCCTGAGCATTCTTTCCACACTATTGAGCTTTTTGTTCCCATTAAAGCGAAACCGTTGCACAATTCCAATTTACCCTAGTAACTTCTTAACTTGTCCCATAGGCGGGAGCAGGCATGGAGTAAGGCTCAAACTACTAAGGATCCATTGGACGAATTTCGTTTGAATATTTAACAAGAAGTTGGACAAAAAGTTAAAGAAGTTTTATGTATCTGTAGAGAGAAGGATCATTGATCTCGGGATAGCAATCTTAATATACCCATATATACTCTCAGCAATGTGGAATAACATATCTTCCCAGGACCTGGACGACTGGATTTTTGACTTACAATAAATTTCATATACACTTTGTCTTAATTTTCCAACATTTTCTATTTGATGGATGGCTTACCCATGGTTCGTACCCCTTCTTCTGAATTTAGAAACTTCCCTTGCTCAGAGTCGCCCTGTTCGAAAATGTCACCTGCAGCTTGAATTCATACTTTGCACACTGGTTTTAGAGCGGAAAGGCGAGTTACGAAGTTGTCGTCAACAATATTTCAACACACAACAATAAACACGTTAACACAACAATAAACAATTCTGTTGGAAGATCGGATTCTGAAACACGCTGAAACCCCGTTTTAAACTCGCTGTTCACCTGAGCCCACACAAATTCTCGCCTGTGTGCCGTCATGAGCCACATGGTGGCGCACGCGCGAAAGCCTCTGCCGTCCGTTATGTGTTAAAGAAGGTGAAACCTTACTCGTTGCATTGAAGAAAAGTCTCTCAGCCAGTAATCGGTCGTCTGATTCAGCCACAACCGTATTTCAGGATCATTAATTGGACTGAACAAGAGCAAAATAATTTGTTGTGCGAAAAAACAATCTACTCTAGTAGTTATGGCCATTATGTATAATAGTAATAAATAGTAGCACTAATAATAACAATGCACGCTCAGCAATAACATTGCTACCCTTGGTAGTGGTTGACGGAATATCCACGTCTCTGGTAATTCTTGCCATTGAAATCGAGCAAGCGGTGTGCAACCTTTTCCATGTCACAGTAGTATACCTGAAGGTAGCAGACAATTGGAGAAGTACATACACTGCGTCTCCTAATTATACAGCCACCTAGAAATTGTTCAAAATCTCGAATTCCACAAAGTTTCTGGAAAAATGTCCAACAGGAAAACTGTGTCAAATTTGGTCGCGAATTCGAAAATCAACACAAAATTCCAGGTTGAAAATGCGAAAAATTTTATCCTAATTTTTCCAGAAAGGGTCGCTTTTCCAACGTCTCCAAATGATACAGCCACCCCGTGTTTCTTCGTTGCATTTCATTTTTGCTTGATGAAACTTGATGGTAGTCATCAATTTCTCTTTTCTAGGTCATCACGAAAGGAAAGCAGTTGTTGGATTCCCAAAAGGGCAAATGGTCGCAGAAAAAAGAAAGAGTAAGCGCCAGTGTCACATTTTGAGCGGAACTTAGTCGAAGTCACGGAATGATAAACAATTTCAGCATACCGTAGGAAATAAAGCTGGAAAGGGCTCTGAAAGCTCCTCTTTGCTTTTTGATAAGATTAATGCGGAATTATGAAAATAACACCCAATTTCATCATGCCGTGCTCATAATTAGAGGCCTTCTTTTGAACATAATCTCCTAATGCATAGTGCTTGGTAAGTAGTGAAGAACTTCCAAGTTCGTTCTTAAGCCCAAAGTGAAAATGGCAGTGTCTTTGAAAAGAAACCTTGACCAACCGGGACATTTTTTACGTGGAAAGAGTGGCCGAGCCAAAGTTGGCTTGGCTGGCTGTATCATTAGGAGACGCACTGTATATGAACATTTCTTCTTACAACTTACCCAAAAAGGAAAAAAATATAAACATTCAGCGTTAGTGGCAATTCACTTCATTGTATGAACCAAAGCTTTGGTGTCAGTTTGTCTGTGTATATGTCGGTTCCGTCCGGACCAACCTCTAACGGAACAGGCGAGCTTGAATGGCAACGCTTCGTGATGTTGATGTCATGATTGTGATGAAACTCACACGGCTAGCATCGATCGAGCGAGCTCAGTCTCATCCTACATGGTGCGCTGTGGCAGCTGAGGGAGAGGAAGTGAGGAGAAGGAGGAAAGAGAAAGGGCAGGATGGGGAAGTAAAGAGGGAGGGAGTGCATCGCTTTGAAGATTATGGTTCGATCTGATGTTGAGATATTATTGCAACGTAATTGTGATAACCCCCTAACGGCTATATAAACAGCAACTAACGGCATTAGTATACTCGAGATCCGTAAGTTGGGGTAGGCGTGTCACCGGAAGTGACGTGTACTTGATAGAATCTATGTGGATAAGGGGCTTCCAATATACATCGCGAGATATCAGCAAAGCATGCTGGCAACGACTTATCTACGCAACTTCTATCAAGTCCACGTCACTTCCGGTGACACGCCTACCCCAACTTTCGGATCTCGACTGTACACATTTGGCCATTTCACAAGGTACTGCAGCGGCAGGGGAAGAGCAGCGGGGGAGGAGGGGAGGATAAGGGGAAGTGGACGAACGCCAAATCTCGCAGGGAGGGTCCAGCAGTTGCAGGAGGATCCACCTGGTATAGATATAAAATATAATGGATGCCAATTTCGAATATGCCACGAATTCCATTTCCACTTATGATCGCGATGGCAATTTGAATGTTACAGGGATACATGTGTAATGACTTGCACGCCAATGGATATACAGTTCAATGTTTCAACCCTACCGTGCAAATGATGCACCTATTCCATAGCTCCGTAGGAATGGAAGGTCTGTTTGTCTTACGGCGTACAATCCAGGATTCCATTCACAGTCTGTCTGATATGCAGCATCACATCTGCCCGCAACAGCCCATGCGCATCCTAAAGTAGCCATTGTAAAGCCCGAATCGACTCGGAGAGCATTGCGATGCCTTGATCCACGCAATGCTCCTCGAAGAATCCAGGAAAGGTCCAACAAAAGTTTCCAAGCAGCTCATGGGACGCTCTGCCTCGCCTGTTACGCTCAGCAGACCCGCACCAACAGATTGCCATCTAAATCCGTTGCTGTCAAATCAGCTAAAAGAGGGAGAGCTTGATATATTCAAAACTACCGGCAAGCATTTTTCTGAATAGTATATGCCTCAAAAGCCCAGGCGTTCAGGACAAACAGCTTCCATAAACTCCGTGCTGAAAGGCAATTTGTTATAATCATAGTATGGGCATATATTTGTGATTTGCTGACGGCTCTAGGCAAGAAAGGGATTCGAAAAAAAACTTCGAATAGACAAAGTCCTTCCCGACAACTTAAAAAATACTTTCAGTGCAAGTTGTCCCTACATTTCTGGCAATCCTCGCTTATGAGTCATTTTAGCCACTTTGGGATAAAATTATAAGATCTCCTAGAGTTTCAGGGCGCAATCTCATAGATTTAGAGCTGGGTCTGATTATGCAGACTCTCTCAAGCTGA